CAGTCTCTAATACCTCTGGTAGATGGGGGAAGCATTATAGATACCTCTCAGCTAGTAGAGCCGGTCTCGCTGGCTGGGCGGGACTGATGGTAAGCACCAGTACCGGTAGGATATAGAGACTGGTAGAAATCATAGAGGGAAGCACAATGGACCAATATAGGTCTCAGTGTATGATGGGGAAACCCACCCTCTCCAATAACTAACTAACTATAGTGAATGTGATCGTGTCCTGTTTTGAAGAAGATAAACTTTCGTTTAAATCGACACCAAAGTTAAGGCCGCTGGTACGTACATTTGTATGTGCCTTTAAGAGTCCAGGACTTCGACTCCGTATTCACTGTATGCTTCAGGCGACTTGTGGTGTCTGAATCGACACCAGTGTGCCTCGAGGGAACCGGGATATCTTGCGGTACTGAGGGTACTAGTGGAAGTAGCGTCCTCCACCGTTCTCTTTGTTATGTGCCGATTTGTCTGTTAATTCAAGTCGGTTTCCTGTTCTCCTTGTAGTCATTCAAAAGGAAACGTACATGTTCTATAAAACAAAAGCATTCCAGCATTTCTTCTACAAGGTTCAGAAGTGTACTAAAATAATAAATTGGTCCTTTTCTTGCCGTCACAACGGGGCAGTCCTGTCTGACTTTGGTGTGGTAACAATTTAACATCACTTCTGTCCTGGCTCACTTTCCTGATTCAAGTTTAGAAGAGAATGAGTTGCAGCATTCACACCTCCTTTATATATTCACCTCCGTCCTCTATTCCTCCTGCTACATAATCTTCTTCTACCTTATATGTTTCTAATCTCCCACGTCTTGTTTTTATCTTAATATCGCTCCACCACCATAATATTTTAACCCTGTATGGTCTCTATGTAATCTCGTTTTCTCCTCCATATATTCATTCTTTCGCGTTTCATTTCAACCCTCTCTTTCATATCTATTCGCAAATATCAATATTATACTACTACTACTACTACTACTACTACTACTACTACTACTACTACTACTACTACTGCTAGCACCACCACCGCCGCCACCACCGCCACCAAACTTATTTTCTCTGCTTTTCCTCCATGTTCATTTTATTCTTCTTAAACTTCACAGCACTCATAATTTTGTATACGCTGTACAGTTTTTCTGAGAATTTCAGTACATGTTCAGCACTTACCAATGATCTCTATCCTTTTGATTTTCACTGACAACAATCACCTTATTTTCGACAACAGTACCACGTGTTCAGATATCTTAGATCTCTTTGATGCGGGCTTACTTTGGAACTATCCCGCACTGAGCGTCACAGTAACTTGTCGATATACTTGTTCATCAGCTTCGCAATAAGACCCTGTCGTGCGTTCTTCAGGCTATGCCATATATTACGAATGGATTCTCAAGGGCATCCAGAATTTGCTCAGTGAAAGAATGAACAGAGTTGAAGTTCAGTTCCTGTCGTCTGCGCCCCCCCCCCCTCTAACTGTAACCACATTGCAACCCCTGGCAGCGTCAGTAACAAACAGAGAGAGAGTTAACAATAGTCAGAATAAAATTGGCAGGTACTGGGAATGGAAAAGACACGCAGAGGGGAGACAGGTGCTTGCCAGACAGATTGGGATGAATCTGTGATCATTCCTTCTCTGGTCGGACTTAAGGTTTGTTTCTTCAAATGCATATTAAGATGATGGACCCAAGTGCGCATGTTCCATACATTCAGTGATACGCTACTGGAATATCTTCCGGTAGGGCTTCTGAGGGTATCATAATTTTAAATTATTGACTTTAGAAACAAAAAGACAAACTTTTTGCTTCTAAACTGACAGCGCCCTTATTTCTAAATAACGTCACATCAGACGTTCTGTGCAAGAGGGTGGCTAGAGAATACGCGGGGACTTCGTTCAAATTGTCGAGGAATGGCTTAGGAGAACTCTTTAGGTTTTTAGAATAATTGAATTATAATTCCAAGAGCCAGATTGTAAAACTAAAAACTTGGATGTTCAAGAAGTAAAATATACATCGTAAATTGCAGAAAATATTTGTACGAAATATGTCCAAAGGCCACTAATACTGAGATAGGTTGTGAGCGTTTTGTATTTCCGGTTACTGCTGTTTCGAGGCATGTCGTCATAAGTCAGCGTACATTCAGAAACAACAACATGCAGAAATTTGTTTTTCGTTTGGAGACAAGAGATGGCAGCACTTACCTGTGGTTACACTGTTGGCATGCGAAGCACTCCAAGTGGTACACGTTGTTCCTGGCCCTCATCACCATCTCGAAGGCTGGGATAACCTTAGAACACGCAGCACAGTGCCCAGTGTTGCCAAACAACCTGTAAAGAAGTTGCCTGCAAGTTAGAATATGATGACCCTTGTCCATATGTACAGTGTCCTGTTGTGAATGTGTTGACGCCGATAAGGGAGAATATCCTATAATCTGAGGATTGGTGTTCTGCACTTTGGATTTGCACAGCCTAGACTTAGTTTATTAAATGAGCAGGATGGGAAGGCATAGACTGGATTAGTCTAGCTCAGTAAAAGGACCGGTTGACGCCCTTCTGAACACAATACAGCCGACAGCGTACAGTCGGTGTATCAACACTAATTGAAGCATAGACTCGGAAGACTGTGGGCCATATTCCCAGTAGGGGTAAGCGAGACTTCCCTCAACTACAGAGTCGACCCCAACACTGAGGCCCACCCAGTAAGCACCGGGGCTCTTTCTATGTGGAAAAAACGGCAGAGGCGTGACGCTGACCACTAATTTCCATCTAGTGCCTTTGTTTAGGACGCGTGAAGCCACAGCTCCACTTTCCATACGTCTTCCTGGTGTGGTGCTCTCATGAAATTTGCCCTCTTACCTTTAAACATGATAATGAACCTACATGTTCTAGAAAGGGGAGTAAGTTCTGGAGTAACTGAGCGACTATCATCTTTTCAGGAAGAACCGAATGATTGGAGATTGCTCAGAAAATTTTAACAGAGTCAACCATGCATGCAGCCAACCAGCTGACTTGTGAGCTGGTCACGCTATCATTAATTTAGTCATTCAGTCATTAAAGTAGTCATTCGTTCGCTCATTAATTTAGCTAGTCAATCAGCTAGTTTGTCAGTAATACACTGGGATATTCAGACAGCTACTCAGCCGATAATAAATGCAGTTAGCTAATGAGGAGTGCTATATGTCAGTTTTAGTTTTCCTGTAAAAACAACATACCAAACAACTCGCTCACATTTCACTGTGCATAACTGAATTTATTGGTTGTACAATACTGCAACATGTTTCTGCTCATGAAGAAATCTTCAGGTGTTACATTAACAAACCTTATGCTTGGAATTATGCCGCTTATATCGTAAATAAGATCAAAAAGTCTGTGACTATGGCACATTTGTACAAATACTTGTATTATCTTTTTTTGATATTATCCATCGTTCTATCTTTACTTAAAAGCAATCCTGTTTATTTTTCAAACACAACGTTATGGAGAGAGACTAGCTCTATCGATTGGGTCCAACTGAGTAGGTTTTACCTGAAGACGGAGACAGAATTGAGTCTCCGAAACGATATGTTTTTAAAAATAAACAAGACTGTTTTTAGATAAAGACAAGACGATAGATAATTCGCCAAAACATAATCTTTGTATTAAAACCCTTCCTTCAGTAGTTGTGTTGCGCTTATATTGCCTATAAAGTAGTGATGTTTGATCCTGTTTTGCTCCTAAGTTCAGTTAATGTTTTCTTCTTAGGACAGCTACGGAGCTAAGTATTTTGATATTTTCTAGTAATACGTTTAGTTCATAATCACGTCCTTCCACTGTCTGATTATGATCTATAATAATTAATTATAAGGTTTACTCTACATATGTCTATTACAGACAACACGACCGGCGACAGTTGTTATCGTATATAGAGCAGTTAGGATGAAGGTAACAACTAAAAGCCAAAATGCAATCACATTGACGGTGGAAAGCCCGGCACGACCAACAGAAGAAATTCTATAAATAAGTTTAATTTCATTTAAATTAATGTGGAATCAACCGCTAAGAATATTTAGAATACGTTATTCTCATGAGTTATATGTTTTAATAACACTTTTACCTATTAATATATTTTTAATATATTTTTTTAATATTTTAAGACTCCCAATATTTTTAAATACTTTTTAATAAAAGTAAAAGTAAGTAAAGGTATCCCTAAATGATATAATGATACAAATTCCATCCCAAGTGCTCCTCTACAAGAGGAGCAAGATCAAGGACACATAATATATTGTTTGCACTTGGGACGGAATTTGTATCATTATATCATTTATCGTATGGAGTGCAACAGGATGCTTAAATATAATATTGCAAAGGTATCCCTGTAACAGGCCGTGAAGGCACATAGGGTTGTGAGACGTTGAGGGTCCCACAATATCTAGACAATCGGCTCAAAGATGGCGGTAAGGTTGTCAGCCTTACGCGCCGGCCGCACTTTACTCCCCAGGAAAATACATTTTTAAATTAGTATAGAAACACAACCACTTAACCTGTGCATATAAAAATGATTAAAATGGAAAGAAACACACTATATTTTTCGGTTTATTGTAACGCACAATGAGTAACACAATATATGGATCCATATAGGAGACATAATTCAATAGCATAAGGCTAGCTACTGTACCGCCTGGTGATGGCTCCACGAGCCGAAATATGTAGCGACGCTGTACGACCAATAAACTCAGTTATGCACAGTGAAATGTGAGCGAGTTGTTTGGTATATTGTGTTTAACAGGAAAAAATAAAACCCAAACACAAAAAAGGATGCTTCCCTTAGAGATTAGTGTGGAGTGATTCACGCATTAGTTCGTGTGTCGGGTCACTGCCTCACCAAATCCACCTCGTGTACCTGTCTACCCTGCCAATTTCGGCCATATTTAAAGCTGTATAATATTACCCACCCCTGGCGTGACAGTCGATAAATCAGGGTAGCATTTAGCTATGAGTATATAAGGCTTTTCTTCTGTTTACACAAGACATTTCCAGTGGACACTCACAGATGGCGATAGGTGTCACATAGACCTGATATCATTACAATCCATGCGGGACTTTATGTCCACACAAATATTTACACGTGCCTGACTGCTGGGACTTTGTTGATGGCAGCCGTAATTTTAAACGGAAATATGGCAGTCTCCTCTAAGACGGCCATATAACTCGCTTTTACGCCTTCTTTTTCCAGGACGAAGCTCTACTGTGTAGCTCATGTCAAAATGTTTCGGTAACAATATATGACAGGAAATTTCTCCCTTTGTATTAAAGTTACTGGAAATTATAAATCAATAATTAAAAAATATATATATTTATTTTCGCTTGGCCATAACATTGAACGTATAGATTCCTATCACGAGAAATTTTCTTGACATAACCTAAACGATTCCCACAGTTGCAATTTTATGTCATAACCAGGGCCCGGATTTTGATGACCTGAAAATATTTAAAAAATGACCGAAAAATGCAGAAAAATGACCTAAAGAGAAAAGAACACTTCGCTTACATGTTATTCACATTTCAGAAAACATACGAAGAAAAATTGCCTAAAATGGCCAAAAATGACAAGAAATACCCTTAAAAGTCCAAAAATTTACCAAAAAATTCCCCCCAAAATGAAAAAAATGACTTTAAACCTAAAAATGTCAAAAAATGACAAAAGATTACCTATAAAATTTACATTTCTGTAACCAGCATTTCATATCTGAGATTTATATATTTAAGAGCATCGCATAGGATACAAGGAAAAAAAAAGATGACATGTCATCAAAATCCGGGCCCTGGTCATAACACTTACCATGTACTGAATGGGAATTATCATCAAAAGTCGTATCTATTACGAATGAGTAGCCGCAATCGTGTATTTGGCAACGGTTTTCTGTTACCCACCGCGGACCTAACAGAAAACAACCAAGGATATTATGAAATTTACTCTGTAGAACGACTAGCTACGGGCTGGACGACAGAGGGGTCGGAGTCCCGGTAGAGTCAAGAATTTTCACTCTGGGACCCACCCAGCCTCTTATCCATGGGCACCGGGGGCTTATTCCCCGGGTGTAAAGCTGCCGGGGCGTGAAGCTGACCACTCACCTCCGGCTAGTGCCAAGGTCTAGAAAATGTGGATCTACACAGCCACTCTCCCATAAGCCTTAATGAAGTAGTGATTAATTAGTTAAGCACAGAGACAATTTTTTTTTACTTTATACTTCTGCGAATGTGTGCGGTAGCTACAGCTGTTAAGGCGATGTGAAGTTACCGTGATGCAGTGTCTGGATGTAGGTCGAATTCTCGTTTCATTGTCTCCTCTTAATTGCATGTCTAAAAATTGAACTCATTAATTTGAGTATTGCTTTTTCCTCTAATTTCTAGACAGATGATATTGTCATGTGTTAGGGTTGTGACTATAGACGGGGTATGGATTCGTGAATGAATTTATTGAACACCTATGCACATCACTCGGAACTACATGTAATTACAGCGCTACCGCTAATCTCCACGCTTTACAAATCATTACAGCGCACGCTAAATCTGTTTATTTCTTCATCAACCATTCCCTGGTAACGGTTTCTAACACTGGAGATTCTTCAGCTTCCGGTGCCCAGATCCTGTCTTCATAGCCTCCTGTGCAGAACTCAAATCTCAACTTACAAATACAAAACTAACTGGGTCAGAGTCAGAGTCAGAGTTAGTTTACGATGGGCGGTTTACTACTAACTAGTTCGTCTTGGCGTAAAGGGCCCTTGAAATCCACGACCAGAATTCCTACTTTCCAACGGAACACCTGCAGTCAAAATCCTTATGTAACATCCTCTCTCACGAGAGAATGGGTTTGTCTTTTAGAATTTCTGCTGGTCCTCGCCAGAGCGGTGATTCTCAGGCCCGAGTCCTGCGGGACTCATGACGTTTTACTGTCTCAGATTCGAGACTCCCCCAACCTGTAGGGCCAGGTCCCCACATTTATACCCCCAGGAACAGAGTGGCCCTGTTATACCACCAGGAATTGGGTTCCCTATTCGTCGCCTCCTACTACTCGCAGGTATACGGTGGAGGTATTCGACCCTGACTCCACACTGGATGATTCTTGGCACACGGGATCCTAATTGGGTCGCCCTAATTATCTTCCTTGAAATCACTTTGTACTTACCGAGCAGGGAAGACCGTTTCCAACAGTAATTATATTGTTATAGAAGCGTGTTTCCCGGCGCCGTTGCCTGGAAAGGTGTTGCATAACACCGTTATTTATTCCCTTGTTCCGTAGCAACGGCTGTCCAAGCTACAGTGTGGTGGAACGAGAGAGTACCCAGTGACGAATTTAGCAGCCTACTGTTCCGCTGACAGCTACAATTTTAGGAGACTGTACCTGAGGTAGTCCCTCCTGCAGAGGATGAGGTCCGCCTTGGTGTAGAGCGTGGAGCCTACCTCCCCCAGCCTGCAGTCGCAGCAGCCACACTTGAGACAGTCCTCGTGCCAGAAGAGGTCCAGCGCCTTCAGCAGAAACCTGAAATACAGTCAAGTGGAAATTGGGCGATAACAGAAGGCGATCCCTAGCAAGTCGGCCAGTAAGCGAGAACGTTCATGTCAAGGAGATGTAGGCCAGGATCACACAGGAGTAAAGAGAAAGGTAATAAATTGGGGGGAGGGGTGATGATGCTAGAGAGACTAACATGGGCATGGGCTAAATTGCCGCGGTCAGACAATGGGATCTCCAGGCATTCCTAACAATCATAAGCTCATCTTTGTGTCTACTTTTAGCTGTACTGAACCTGAATTCGGTTTGCAGACATTCCTCTGAATTTTCAGCGGTAATTGCACTGCTATTGTAATAACGTATTCTACTGCAGAAGTTCACCTGACCTCTCGGTGATCTTCTTGCCGCAGCCAGCGCACTCCTGCGGCGAAGTGTTCTTCTGTGTCTCCGCTTTCACGTCCATCGTCATCACGAGACCTGAAACAAAAGTGACGAATAGAACCTCCCTTTCGTTACATCTGTTAAGGACAGTTTATTTAATTTCGTTTCTTGGGGTGGGGTGAGACTGAGTCCACTTGGTACGTTGGCCAATATCTGGCCTGTCGTATCAGCCCCGGATGATGAGTGTGGAGCAGTCGGTGGAATGGGAATTGGCAGGGAAAACCGAAGTACTAGGAGAAATTATGTTCCGGTCCAACTTTGTCCACCACAAATACCACATGACCTGGCCTTGACTCGAACCCGGCCTCAGAGGTGGGAAGTCTGCCAAAGAGTGTCATTGAAAAGTGAGGACAAAAGAAAAGAAGGGGGAGTAGTAGTAGCAGTAGCAGTAGTAGTAGTAGGAGTAGTAGTAGTAGTAGTAGTAGTAGTAGTAGTAGTAGTAGTAGTAGTAGTAGTAGTAGTAGTAGTGGTAGTAGTAGTAGTAGCAGTAGCAGCAGTAGTAGCAGTATTACGAGTGATGGTGGTCGCGCACGCGGTAGCGCAGTTGGTTGCGGCACTGTGCTACAATCCGGAAAGTTGCGATTTCGATTCCTGACAAGGCCACTGCATTTTTCAATTGACCTAATCCTTCCAGCCGCACTATAGCCCTGGGTTAGGCTTAGCTTCTATCAGAAATGAGTACCAGGAAGATTCCTGGGAAGTAAAGGGCGGCCGGCGCGTAAGGCTGACGACCTTACCGCCATCTGTGAGCCGACTGTCTAGAACATGTGGAAGCCTCGACCTCCCACACCAGTATGAGCCTTCACGGCCTGTTACAGGAATACCTTTACCTTTTTAAAGAGATTAATCAACTGGTAGTAGGAGCAGGAGCAGGCGTATGAGCAGGACAAGAGCAGGAGCAGTAGCAGTAGCGGGAACAGGAGCAGGCGTATGAGCAGGACAGGAGCAGGAGCAGTAACAGTAGCAGTAACGGGAACAGAAGCAGGAGCGGTAGCAGTAGCGGGAGCAGGAGCAGGCGTATGAGCAGTAAAGGAGCAGGAGCAGTAGCAGTAGCAGTAGCAGTAGCGGGAACAGGAGTAGCAGTAACGGTAATTAAACTGCTGTAACTGAAGGAGGTGGCCTGCTTTCGAGATCTTCCAGTCACAACGTCAGCCGGAACAGGAGCTGTAGTGATGGCAATTGTTATTGCATTCCCTAGTCCCCCAGGCAAATATCCTGATAATTCTCTGGTAAGCCTCGACCGCTTTAGACCACACCCTTCCCAATTCATTATTCACGCATCACTCAAACGTTCGAACCTGTACTGTGAGACATATTGCCAGTGTCATGAAGTAAATCACAAGTATGGATAAGAAATGAGGTGATACAACGGGGGCAGGCGAGAAAATGATAAGAGACAAGTAAGAAATGTAGGAGAAAATTAAATATAAGAGGACTGGAAGAATAAGCATATAAAGGACGCAGGCTGAGGGAAGAAGCACGTGGGAAGAGGAGAGAAGGATATTGAACTTCAGTAAAGGAGAATGTTATGCAGCAGGAGGAAGAGAAGGGAATGTATAATGAAATAGAGAGAAGAGGAGATAGAAAGTAAATTGAGTACGAAGAAGCTTCATTTTTCATATAATAATAATAATAATAACAACAACAACAACAACAACAACAACGAGAATTTCTGTTATCATTTTAGCTGTTGATGGGCCACAGTACTTTAATCAATCTTATGGAATAAAAAATGAATCCAGCTAAGAACTGACAAGTATAATTAAACGAGATAAGTGGTGTGTAGCGGGCAAAGAGTTAATGGAAGAGGATGTTGAGCAGAAACGAGAGGAAATGTCAGAGTTTTCGTACAACTGTAGCAAAACCAAGTGTACCAGCTGACGACTTTAAATGGATGGATCGTCCTTAGGTTAGTGGAGATAATATGAGAGGGTTGGGGTTCATCTACGGTGGGGGAAGTTGTCCGATTCATAAGCCGGCAGAGAAGTGACTTATTTGAAGTTACTCCAACTGGACTCGTTGGGGTGCAACCGCAGCGCCACGCTCGGCAGACATCGCAAACAAACAGCCCGAGTTGTGCAAACCGCAGCCACAACTCCTGCGTTCCGGTATGCTCTGCCAGGAGCGCTCTTCCAGACAAAAGAAGGGGCGGAAATATGCTCCTTACTGTCGATAAATTAACAAAAAAACATTGTACAATTTCTGTTCATACGTCGACTCAGAAAGTGAACTGTAACATTGAACAAACAATCGTACTTTCGGCTTTGTGTACTGGCAACAATGACATACCGACATACCTCAAAAGCACGGTAGTTTTATACTCTATAGTACGTTAATAACACGCGTAACCGGCATCAATTCACATTGTTATTACATCTGTAGTATGGAGAAATATACCATCTCATGTCCTGAAGATGGAAGAATAATGTTCCTCCGAAACATAAGTTACCACAGCAAGATTACGTACGGTATCATAACTCGGAAGCTTAAGACAATCTTCATACGAGCGTCAAAATCAAGTTTTATATCCCGTCTCACATTTCTTAAAGATCTGTCCAGTGGAGTTAATTTATTGAAACAAAGAGACAGACACATGAGCTTTCCAGAATTAGCAGATATGCGTTCAACGGCGGGGGGGGGGGGGGGGTTGAGTCCAACTGGTTCGACTCTGCACGGCGGCTACTGATTGGCCTATTGTAGCCTGCCCCGGGTGATTATGATGATGGAGAATTTGGTGGAATGAAGATCGGCAGGGAAAACCGAAGTACTCGGAGAAAACCTACCCCAGCACCACTTTGTCCACCACAAATCCCACTTGACCATACCCGAGATCGAACCCGGACTGCCGCTGTGGGAACCCAGCGACTAACCGCTTGAGCTGTGGCGCGGCCCTACCAGGGTACTTTCTACCTGATAAAAGCAGCCGATACGCGAAGTTGACCACCTATCTCTAACTACGTGTACTATGGAGATTTTGAAAACGTGGATTTATACCTCAATTCCCCTATACATCTTCTTGGCCTAGTGCTTATATTAGCGCAGGAACGAATTTAATTTTAGATCCATCCCATAAAATTAGGAAGCAGAAATCAAGACTCAAAACAGGGTGGACATGTAGCACTCATGGCGGGAAAGGGGAAATGCATATAGCTTTTTAATCGGTCCCTCCGTTCCCGTGATTAGGTCACGGCAGTTTGCTTCCAATTAAGCAGTTTCCCACTGTTGGACTCTGTGTACTCCAGGTTGACAGCGACAAGTAACGCGCCTAGACCCACCACATCACTGCCTTCTGGGATATACCGCCGTTCAGTTGGGTAATTAGATATCCTGTAACAAGCCGTGGAGGCCCATAGGACTGTGAGAATTCGAGGCTCTCATATTTCCAGATAATCGGTTCACAGATGGTGGTGGGGTTGTCAACCTCACCCACCGACTGCCCTTTACCTTCAAAAAGATTACTGGTATTCATTTCTGTTAGTGTCTGAGCCGACCCCAGAGTCATAGTGCGGCTGAAAGGATTAGGTCAATTGAAAAATCGTATGACCTCATTGGGAATTGAACCTGCAACCGGAAGTTAGAAAAAAGCTGTTATCTAACTCTTCCTGTTTAAAGAATACCTATTTGCCACATTCATTCATCGATTGTTCTACTGCCGTTTGTTGTGTCCTGGCCCCTTCTTCAGTTTCGTAATCTTTTACACAGACGGTAGGACTCTTTACCGGTCTATAAAACCGAAATTAACGGCCGTGGGGATTCGTTGCGCTGACCACGCGACACCCTCTATCCGCAAAAGTTGGCACTAAACTTCGCCGACAAGCGGCGGTCGCTCGGTCGGTATAGTTAGCTTGCGGACTAAAATCCCGGAGTTTTTTTTTTTTTTGTTTGGTAGGACTCTTCGGACTAGTGAACAGCCCACCGCAAGGCTGCTGCCTACAGCAGGAGACCATAAACACAGAACAGTCACACATAGACATCCATACCTCGAGTGCGAATCGAACCCAAGATCCCAGGGTTCTAGCAAGCGAAAACAGTTCATGCCTTAGAACGCTCGGGCATTGTAATCGGGCATTTATTACACTATACGGTGTTAAATCATAGAAAGGCCTAATCTCAATGTTCTCTGCCATGAGGAATCCAATCTCAACGGGATATGTGGTGGGCTAAGTGGCACTGCTGCAGGTCTTCTCCCAGTACTTCATTTTCCCCTGCCAATTCTCATTCCACTAAATGTTCCATGGTCATTTTCCGGGGGCTGGTACAATAGGACAGTTAGTGGACGACGTACGCAGTGGAGTCAGTCACACCACACCCCACACCACGAAACTAAAAGAAAAAAAGAGATCTCAATACCAATGCTTCTTGATCCGGAAACATCAAGGATAGATATGGATCCTAGAGAAATTTGGTTTACGGGTGCGGACATGACCCATCTTTCTGAGCGCAGGTATTTGTGAACCATTCTGTTGCATATAAGCAGATAATTTCTTGGCCATCTTGTGGAATATGAACTTCTTAAGTTTTTGCACGACGAGGTTAGTTAGTTAGTTAGTTAGTCCTACATTACTTCGCGTTTCATTCTGAAAATTCCTGCAGACTTGGAAGACTACTGTGAAGTCCGGAGACCGTAGTGGATAATACAGAAGAATCACAACTGTTTAGAAAATAGCGGGCATGTGGGATGCTCTCAGCACTCGCAGCCGCTAGTATCTTATTGTCACAAGAGACGCTAATCTTTTGTTCACTTTTGTCTTAGCAATTTGAATCACTCAATCGAACTTTCTATGGGTTTCTTCAGCCCTAAAGCAAATGTTGAGTTTGCATTCAAATCTCAGGTTGCACTGCACGTTTCTCATGCNCCCCACACTTCCAATAATATCAAACTTTTGTTCTAGTGCAACCTTCCAGGTGTGAATGACAAAAAAATTCCAATCGAAAAGAACAAGGACCCAGCTAAACTTCCTTCCTCTGCAATATTATTGTACTATCAAAACAGTTCACTTCCCAACGCTTTACCTTCTTCACTTCCCAACG